TCCTCTTTATTGTCTTGTTACATCTGTATTTATACCAGTTGATTTTAATCCTATCAATTCTACTCCAAAGGTTAGGGTGTTGCTTATCTCCATTCCAGGGAGTAAAGATTATGTAGTTGAAGCGTGATTGTTCGTAGTTAAAGTGATTAACTACCAGCCTGGCACTTAGTTAAGGGGTTTTATTCCCTCCCTAACTTCAGGGAAAAATCCCTACCTGGGGAAACAACCGTTCTCGGAGAGGTGACCTTGGTTAAAACACACAGCGCCAAGAAGGGGAGCAAACATATTAAGAACAGTATGCCATATACGCCAGGTCCCTTGAAACATATGCTGTGCAGATGTTCCTTCCCTGCAGCGACTGTGTCAAGCAGCAAGGATGGACCGGCTTCTGGCACGGTGGGGCCCTCTGCAAGGTCCTGGTGCAAGAAACGAGCATGTCTTCAGCCCTGGACTTGCAGATTTGTCCAATAGCAAATCCAAACTTGTTGCAACAGAGCAGCGCCATTCCAGGAGGCGTTTATTCTGGGATGCATTCTATTTAGAAATGCAGTCAGTCCGTGTGATAGTCCATTTTCTGTCAGGCTAATGTTTTCCTTTGTTGTTCTTACTGTTGTTAGGAGAAACACTTGTCAACATTTTTAAAGATATTTCAGTAAAGCCAGTGTCACTATAGGATTTCTTTTAGCGCCCAGGCCGGTATTATAAATCTGCACGCTTTCAATGCAACAAACATTTTAAAACAACTTTTCAATTTAGCACACACCCATTGAGTTAAGAGTCCTATCCATTTCTCCACTTTGTTGTGTCAGGAAATCCTGTGCAGAGGTGGCAATAAGGATCCTACGTTCTGTTTTGCAACAAATCTCTCGGGCCTGCCTCAGTCCACCATGCAGATGCTGGTTGCAATAAACCAACCAGGGTTCCCTTTGTTGCTGTAATCTCCCAGGCCTTGGGTGCAATTTAATATCCAAGTTCTCTTTACAACAACATCCACCAACTCACAGCTGCCCCTAATAACCCAGCCAAGAGCAGAAGAGGGTCAGTTACAGGGGCAGGTGGGCATAAGCCCGCATCCCTGGGGATTTAGGTCTGACTTAGTGCTGTGTAGTCTTTAATGTGCAACCGAATCACCTGGGAATCCTCTTAAAAAAGCAATTCTAATTCAGTAAGTTTGGGGTGCCTGCATTTCTAACAAGCCGCAAGGTGCCACGGCTGCTTTACACGACCCTTTGAGTGGTCAGATCTGAGCACACAGGTCACAGGCCCCCCGACTGCCAGTGCAGCTTGGAACCAATTCACAAATGTCTCAGTGAAATGATGCCGTCACTGCTGGTGCTGGCTTCTGCATTTGTATGGGAGGGAAGTCAGGACAGAAGTCAGGGGACCTGAGGCCCCAGTGCAGAGCAGACGTATGAGTGCAGATCTGGTTGTGGGGTTCTGAAGGAGCAAGGTCGGGGGAGAGGGGAGTGGACTTATTCTGTCCATATCAGGAAGGAAGATTGACTCAGAGCAGGAGGGATGGGGCTGAGGGTACTAGGGAAGGGGAAGTGTGAGCTACTGGCAACAACCTGGGTTTGTATTCCAGGGGACCTGGGTTTGAATCTTGCTTTTGGCAAGTGACTTGAACCTCTAAACAACATTTTCTTCCACCACTGTAAACATGTAAATACAAATAGCTGTGTTATGGGGTGGTAAGGGAGATCATCAGTATCAAAACCCCATAGATGCACCCAGCTGGTGTGGCTCAGTGGTTCAACAGTGACCTATGAACCAGGGAGTCACGGTTTGATTCCTGGTCAGGGCACTTGGCCAGGTTGTGGGCTCGATCCCAGTAGGGGGTGTGCAGGAGGCAGCCGATCAATGATTCTCATCATTGATGTTTCTATCTCTCTCTCCCTCCCTCTCTAAAATCAATAAAAATATATTAAAACAAAACCAAAAAAACTCACTAATTCATTAGTTTTTAAGGAAATGTCAGTTTCTTCCCTTTAAACTTCCGAGAGAGAAGAGGGGTTTGGCCCCAGCTCTCAGGGCTGTGTGACCTACTCCCATCACCACTTCTTGGCGCCCCAGTACCCCCACTAGGAGAGGGTAGTTTAGACCAGTGGTTTTTCAAAACAATATCTCTATTGCCCCCTCTCCCGAGTGCCACCCAAAATAAAAGTGCAGCCATGCTGTTATGCATTTTAGGGGGAATCAGAGTGGTTAAGAAACAGAGATATCAGGGTCTGAGTGCCTGCTCCACCATCGACACACCGTGTCACTTTAGGAAAGTTACCTAATTGACCTGAGTCTTAGTTTGAATGTCTGTAAAATGGAGTGTCTCCGTTTCCATGTCTATAAAAATGGGTTGTATTGAGGAATGAATTAATATATTTAAAGTGCTTCCAACAGAGCCTGGGAACATAGCAAGTGTTTAATAAAATTGGTTATCACTGCCCTGGTTGGTATGGTTGGAGTGTTGGAGTATCATCTCGCGTACCAGAAGATAGATAGATAGATAGATATCACTTGGTTGATCGGTTGCCTCCTGCAGGGGCCCCTGCCTGGGGCTGGGGAACCTGCAGCTGAGGTATGTACCCTTGACCAGCCCCTTGACCGGTAATCAAACCCACAA